AAATTTTTAAAAATTTTTTGACAAATTCGACAGGTTCGTTAGTTTGAGCATTTGGAAGATGTTCCGATTGGGTGAGGCCATTCGTTGGAGACGGAATAAACTCTATTTTTCCATAGTCGGGTAAGGTTTTCATTTCTGGCCATGTTGTGTCGTTCGGTACTCCAAGAACGTGAAAAATCTTGCAAATCTGAAGAATATCTGTTTCTCCTTGAAATAAATGTGATCCAACAGGCTCAGTGAAAAATTCGGCAATTACACACCCAACTGACCATAAATCAATGGTATTTGTATAATTGGAAGCCGAAAAAAATAACTCCGGCGCACGATAAAACCTTTCAAAAAAAATCAAAATATTTAATATTTCCATGCAATTTAATTTGGGAACGCAATAATTAAATACATACCTTGTCCCAACATCAGATGATAGATTTCCTTTCTTCTCATTAGTATCTGATTCCATCCATGCATTTCCGAAATCTGCAATCTTCACGACACCAAATTCATCTATTAAAATATTTCTCGCAGATATGTCACGATGTATAATCCCTTGGCTATGAATATAATCAAGGCCTTCGAGGATCATTCGAATACATGATTTTTTCTGCTCTTCCGTTAATTCATATTTTATGCAGAGTGAATTTGCTGTCAACGGACAATAAGGAAATACAAAGTAGGTGCTTTTTAAGTTTATGCCTGTGTTATCCCAATTATCACAATGCAACAGTTTAATCACCTATTTTTGTAATTATATTAATAGAAAATAATGATAATAATGATAAGAGAATTCGATAAAATTGAAGCAAAACAAAAAAAATAATCAAACATTTTGATTTTGTAATTTTTGCAAAGAGCGAATCTCCCTGACTCGAGACTCCCGCATTTCTGCGTCTCTATACCTCATAGATTTAAAAGGTCCTTTTATTGCAACTAAGGTTCCAGTTTTCTTTTCTTTAGCTTTGTAAACTATACTATAGGCGCCTTCACCACATTTCTCTAGAATCTCATAATTTTCAAGAGACATAACTTTGCCCAACTATAACTTCAATGCATAAGTAACGAGATTGAAATCTGATCTAATCAAAATTGATTAGTTCCAATTATCGTTCGTCCTTTTTTTTTGAAATATGAATTTTTTATTTAACACGTCAGACTGATTAGACCCTAGTTTGGAGTTACTCCACGATCAAATTACAACTTATTTTGGCCGCGGTTACTCTCCAATGGCATCAACAAACTCTATTAAAATTTTTTCTGGTAGCTCTCATGTAGAACTTGCAAAACTTGTAGCTGGGTAAGCGACTTTTAATTTATAACATACGCGTAAGAAATTAATACTAAATTTTTTGTTGATTCAGACGAATAGGCCTAGAACTTGGTAAAGTGGTAGTGCTAAAATATAGTAATCAGGAAACCTGTGTCACAGTTGGCGAGTCAGTTCGTGACGAAGATGTTTTCATTATACAATCTGGATGTGGAGAAATTAATGATAATTTGATGGAACTTCTTATAATGATCAATGCATGTAAAACCGCATCAGCCCGACGAATTACTGCAGTAATTCCTTGTTTTCCGTATGCGAGACAAGATAAAAAAGACAAGTCAAGAGCCCCAATCACAGCCAAATTAGTGGCAAATATGCTGACTGTTGCTGGTGCTAATCACGTTATTACTGTGGATTTACACGCGAGTCAGATTCAGGGGTTTTTCAATGTTCCTGTGGATAACTTGTATTCAGAGCCTTCTATGCTAAAATATATCAGAACGGAAATACCGGATTGGAAAAATTCAATCATTGTATCCCCTGACGCTGGTGGTGCTAAAAGGTTTATATTATTTGACAGTAATGAATTTAAAAGCACCTCTCATATACGATTAATTAATTGATTAATCGAATGCATATGCTATCCATATAATTAAGGGCGACGGCAATAGCAGATCACCTTAATTTAGATTTCGCCTTAATTCACAAAGAGCGCAAAAAAGCAAATGAAGTATCACGTATGGTATTAGTAGGTGACGTCCGTGGAAAAGTGGCCATATTAGTCGATGATATGGCCGACACTTGTGGGACTTTGGCGCTAGCCGCCTCCACTCTTAAAGAAAATGGGGCAACCAAAGTATTTGCTATCGTCGCACATGGAATTCTCTCCGGTAGAGCCATTGAAGTGATTAATAAATCCTGTTTGGAACGGGTGGTTGTTACAAATACAATTCCTCATGATGATAAGAAAGCCATTTGTTCTAAACTCGATACAATCGATATTTCGGCTACACTTGCGGAAGGTAAGAAAAGAGAATAATTGTATTTAAAGATTTCTTTATAATTTATTTAATTTTTACTTTATAATTTTCAGCTATTCGACGTACTCATAATGGAGAGTCCGTCTCTTTTCTGTTTTCACATGCTCCGGAATGATTAAAACCTTTAGACGATATAAACTCTAATTTGCTATGATGAGTCTTCATTCATTTAAACTATACTAATTTTTTCACTGTTTTTAATAATATCTCTTACCCCAGTGCTCAATAATTTCGCTTTTTAATCATCTTGTAGGCGTCTTCACAAATACGCCAATAATTATTACATCATTAGAACATATAATAAATAAATTGTAAATTTATATCTCCAATATGAGAAAGAATCTCTGTATTCAGTCTAAACTTTACCATAAAAGCAAGTATTCACTTAGGTTAAGGTGTTTCTTTCGTTTCAGTGGCATCAGTAGCTTCCCATCTAAACGAAGATCGAATAGTTAGAATTGAATCGTTGAAAGTGGATTGTAATTATATATGGTGTCACTTACATTCGTATAGTGTGATCGTCGCCGGCTGATGCAAATAAATAAGGATTAACTGGACTCCAATGGACACTATTAACAATATCATTATGTCCCGACAATACTTCAATTAAGGCAGCATGCTCTCGATGCCACACGTAAATATTCGAATCTATCAACCAAAATAAATAAAAAATTATGAACTATAACTATAAAAGTTACTATGTTAAATAATAAATTAATTACCTTCACTTCCACTAACAATAAGACCTTGACCAATACCGCCAAAACAGGAACGAATAACGTATTTACTCTGAGTTTGCCCATGATATTTACGGACGAGTAGTTTTTGATCTATATCCCACAAATGAATTTCCTGTCAATAATCTCGAAAATCGTTTATTAGTATTTACCTGTGATACTAAATTTATCAATGCATATTTACCGTCATTCGATAAGTATACCGATGTGAATGGGCATCCTCTTCAAGAATACTAAAAAAAAATGAGTATTATAAATGCCATGAAATAAATAACGCGTATTCTATTCTAGGATGGATTTAAATACACACGTTTCTTCAATTTTGCTAACTAAATCGTATATATGAATCTTCTTTTCGGTACTAATAGCCACCATCCTTGTACCTTCTTTATCTAGATCTACTATACGTGGTCCATGCCATTTATATAGTATTGTACCTAAGAATTTATACGTTTTGATATATCCCGAATCATTAGGGGAACACCGAGAACGTCCATGTGACTTCATATATCAGTCATGTGACCTCATATCACAGGGAAACTATAGTCACGTAATTTCAGAACATATGAATAATGTAAATGAAATATAAAAAAATGACATACCCATAAAAATGTGTTTTTATCTTGACCGCCCTGATATAAAGCTTTTGCCATCTGGAAGCCATACACACGCTGTGACAAATTCCGTATGTTTTTTCATTGTGTTCACACATTTACCCGTCTTAAAAAACAGATATAAATAATCGATAAACCATTTATTATAGTTTGTAATTGTGAGTTGCATTGAAATAAATTTTAGGCCTACTTGCACATTCCAAAGCTTAACTTCATTATCTTGGCCACATGTCAAGAGCATTGAATCATTAGGAGACCAAGAAACAAAAGACACAAAATTGGCATGTTCACTTAACACATGAAGCAGCTCCCAAGTCTATTAAAGAATCAAAGAATTCAGCATACATACATTTCAGCTAAAAAAAGAATTCTCACCTCAAGACTCCAAATAATCGCTGTTTTATCTTTAGATGCCGAGGCCAAATGTTTTCCATTGTGTGAAATTGCAACATACCATACTTCATCAGTATGTTGCCTAAAAACATGCGTTGTAACCAAGGGGATCTGCGACCTATTATTATATTGTCGTATGAATACGAAAAATCAAATGAAAGCAGAGGCAGCAGTTTAAGAAAAAGCAGAATCCCATGTCCGTACATATCAATATAAATTACGACCAATGCATACAATCTATAAGCAAAAGGTAGTTATACAAAACCTTTTGTTATAAAGTAATTCATGAAAAAAGGCATAAAACATGAAATACGTAGTCATATGATGAAGCTCGGAAGCTTTAAAAAATGCGTTTTAAAAGATCACGCGACATACAAAACCAAGACAAAGTGAATATGCTACTATGTGACATAAATGAAAGGCTGATGTGGCTGAAGATTAACTAATTTGACTAATTACATTTTGATTATCACAGCCATGACTCATGCACAAATTATATTATACTATTAGAAGTATTTTAAAGAAAGAAAAATTACTTATGAAATTTATCAAGAATAAATGATGATTATTATTATTAATTCACGAAAAATTAAAAATTAAAAATAAAAAATAAATACATAAAGTAATAATTATTTTCTTTATTAATTTTTATGATTTTTATATATTATTTGAATAAGATTAATAATAAATATGATAATTTTGATTTATTATTCATAAATCTAATATAATTTATAATTAATAATTCTTAAAAATAATAGATAAAATAATAAAAATAAATTAGAAAATAGACTTAATTAGAAAAATAATTAATTCAAACTTGATATATTTATTATTTTATATTAAAAATTATTTAATTAATAAAATAACTTTTAAAATTTGTAACTATAATATATTTATAATTAATAAAAATAATAAAATATAATTTGATTAATATTTAATATATTTATTATAAATATAATATAATTTATATTTATATTTTATCTTAGAAAAATTAAAAATTATTTTAATATTAATATTAAATAATTTTATTTTATAAGAAAATAAGTAAAATTATTTAAAAATACTTATTTTTATTATTTAAATCTTTATAAATTATTATTATTAATTATATTTATTATTAATATTTTCTCTTTTATAAAGCTTATAATTATAATTTAATTATTTATTTAAGTAATAAAATCAAAGATAATTAAATTAAAATATTGATTATTTATTAAATAAAAATATTTATCAAATATAATATACTTATAAAAAGATTTTAAAAGTTATATAATAAAAATTTTAAGCTAAACTCAATCTTATTTAATAAAATAATTATAAAATTTTACAAATTATATAAAAGAAAAGATATTATTATCTTATAATTAATAAATAATAAAATATTTATTAAGTAAAAAATAAATTAAGAAATATATTATTAAATATTATTAAAAATTTAAATTAAGTATTAATCAAAAATATTAATTAAAATTAAATTTTAAGTATATATAATTTATTAATTTTTTAATATTATATAGTGCAGAATACTTAAAAATATTAATAAAATTAGCAATTTTTCAAAAATAATAAGTTATTATATAAATATGATATAATTAAATAAAAACTATAAATTTATAACTATATCAATTTACTATAACTTCATAATTTTTTTTAAAAAATAATTATTATTTTCTGATTTGAAAATATCTTGTTTTATATGATTGATAGCTAATAAGACAAAAATATAATTTATAATTAACTAATCAAATTATATTATATATAATATATAATTTAATTAATTAATTATGATTATATAATATATATATATATAGTAAATTTATATATTAATTAATATATTAATTATATACTAATAAATATAATTATTAAATATATTAATTAATATATTATAAGTCAAAATAATACTATTAATAATTTATAAATAAAAGTATTTTATCAAGTTTTAAGAATATAATAATAAAAAAAAGCTAGTAAAAAGATAAAAAAAAAAAGTTTTTGAAGATAAAAATCAAGTTTCAGAAGAGAATAGCAAGTTTGATAAAGAGAATGAGAAAGAGATGAACAAAAAGAAAAAAAAGATAATTATTATACTACTTATATAAAATAAAAAAATAAAAAAAGAAAATATAAGAATAATCAAAGATAAATTAATTTTGTTTTATTTATAAATTAATAAATTTATTACTTAAAGTTTTTTTATATAGAAATATCAAAAATAATTTATTATCACAAGTTTATATAGAAATATCAAAAATAATTTATTATCACAAGTTTAATATACTTGCTAATATTATAGAGAGAATATAAAAAATTACTAATTTTTTTAAGTTTAATAATCAATTCAAATTAGTTTATATCTTATTAGTAGTACCTAATTTATTTTCTGAAGATATTATCTAATTCTAGAAGAATTTTTCAAATTCAGAAGAATTACTATCTGATTTACTCTCTGAAAATATTATCTAATTTTGAGAGAATCTTTTAAAAAATATATAGATATTTACAGTTTTCAAGTATAATATTTGATGAGTTATTTATAAGTATTTAATAAAAGTAAATAATAATAAAAGAAAAATAGTAACTAGTAAAACAGTTATAAATATGATTTATATTTTTTCAAAATCATATATAACTAGAAGAATTTATTTTTGATCAAATTTTATTTGCAATACCAATTATTTTTACTTTAATATTACAGTTAATATTAAAAATATAAATAACTTATTAATAATAAAGATATTATATTAAGATATTAATAATAAATATAATAAGAATTAGAAATAAATAATATTAGTTTATCTTAATTTAAAAAATATATATAAAATATTATTTTACTAAAAAATACAGAAACTAGAAAAATAATATAATAAAAAGATAATTGAATATTTTAGGATATTAATAAATTATTAAAAAAATATACTTTAATAGATATAAGTAAGAAAATATTATTGTATATTAAAAAAATTTTCTCAAAATAATAAAATATAAAGATAAAATAATAAAAATAATTCTATTAATACTTATAATAAGTAAATAAGAATTAATTTTTATTACTTATAATAAATATATTTTATATTCTAATAATGAAAAGAGAGAAATTTGAATTACAGATAAAAATATATTATTATAAAAGAAGAGAAATGGAAGATCAATAATAATGAGTAAATTTCTTTCTAAAATATGTGATTAATTAAAATTAAGTAAATAAAAAGTAATGAGATATTCAAATATTCTTGTAAAAATATATTGTTATTTTATATTTAATAAAAATCAAGAAGATTATTAAACTATTAAATATTTATTAAATTAAATTAAGCAAAAAGTAATTCTTATTTTTGAGATAAAATTTCTTAATATAATAGTTATTTTTACTTTTAATAATAATATAAATTATATAATATATATCAAAGATATTCTTGTTATAAATAGAATAAATCTGAATTTTAAAGAAAAATAATTAATAATGAAATTAATAAATTTTATTAATATCAATAAATAATAAATAATTAGTAAATGATATTTATAAAAGATTATTCTAACTTTGCTCTATAAAAAAAAAGTTAAAAGAAATTATTATTATACAAGAAATATTATAATCTTATAATTAAATTTTATTATATAAAAATTAACTATTATGAAGTTAATTAAAGATTCTGACTATTTATAATTTTTTATCTAAAGTTTCATTATAAATTTTATTAAAATATATTAGAAAGTAGCTAAATACTATATAAGAAATCAATATAATTATATTTAAGTTAGAAAAAACTATTTTATAAGTACTTGATTTAATAAATATTATTATAATTAGAAAATTTGCTCAGAAATTATAAAGATATATACAATTGTATTATGAAGAATTAATAAAAAAATTAGCTGAATATGCATATAAGAAATTTAAATTATATAGATAAGTTTTATAAGATTAATTAAATATATTTATAAAAAAAATATTATTTAAAAAAATAGAAATATTATTACAAATAGATTTTTTTAAGTATAATAGTTTATTATAATATGATAATATTATAATATTATTAATATATATAAAAAAATTACTAATCATAATCATTAATATATATTAAATCATATAACTTTTTTGAAAAATAATATAAATTAACTTTTTAGTCAAATATAAAATTCTATTTTCAAAAATAGAATAAAGTTATATAATTGATATCTTTAAATATTCTATATTATATATAATATAAATTTATATATTTTAATATTATATTAATATAAATTTAAATATAACTAATTATAAATTTAAATATGAATTATATTAAATTAAAACTTAAATTTATTAGCTAATTTTTTAATTATATTAATAATTTTTAGCTTATATTTATTTTATCTAATTTTATTATAATTTATTTTAATATAAATTTAATATAGTATGAGATATCTTAACTTATTAATCATGTAATTTTATTTTAATTTTCCATATGTAATATAATATAGTATAATATTATTACAAACTATACTTTAGAAGGTAGGTTTTATCATGAATATAGTTTATAATAAGTTTTGAGAATGAAGACTGAATTATTTATAAAGATTAAGAGAATAATAAT